CGCTCCGCCTCGTAGATCGTCATGCGCTCCTCCAATCCTCTATGCGTTCCAATAGTCGCTTTTCCAGGTCGTGCACATACACCTCGTCGGCTTTCTGCGCCACCGTGGCACGATCCGCCTTTTCCTGCAGCGTCGCTACCACCTCACCGCGCTGCACGTAATTTTGGTCAAATCCCTTCAATCGGCGCACCGCCTCGCCTCTACTGCCGCCTTCAGGTCCCACTCTCCCGTCAGCCGCGCCATTAAGATTTCGGCACATCTCCTTTCGCATTTCTTCCTTCAGTGAGGCCATGATGTTGCCCATTGTCATGGACTGCTCGTCTTTTAACTCACCGAGACGGTCCATCACATCCCGCAGAATGAGGCGTCGGAACTCGACGAGGAGTGGGGCGCCCCGCATGACCTCCTGCAGCTCGCGGTTATCTCTTCCAGCCTCACTTCGCCCGGCAGAGCCCACACCACTACTCACCGCCTCATCCTCATCGTCCTCAATGGGGGATGGTCGGAGCCAGAGTGTAAGCCGCTCCAACTCTTCCATATACTGTTTTTGCGACAATTCAAGCCCCTCACACATCTGCTCCAATCGCTTGCGAGCCTCCTCGCTCTGCTGACGCGCCTTCTTCTCCCGCTCCTCCCTCCCTCGAATTCGCTCCAGGCGCTCCATGTCAATCTTTTTCTTAAAGCTGTACATCTTCCTCAGTTCGCTGTCCACCTTTCCCTCGTCGTATCCCGACAGGGACCCAACAGAGGCACAGCTCCTCTCCGCAGCGACTGTCTGCGGGTCACGCAAAAATTCAGGTAGGAGCAACTCTGTAGAAAATCCATCCGGCATTTCCCCGCCACCCTCCGCAATGCTTTCCTGCAGCTCCAACAGTACCTGTTTCCGCAGAAACTGACGCACATTAGTGAATAATGTTTCGCACGACTTCACTCCCTCTTGCAACTCGACCAAAGAGCGCTGAACGGCATTCAGATTGTCAGACAGTTTGTTGTTCAGGTTCCGTAGGTATGCCTCCAGGGGAAACGCCTGCACAAGCATTGACGGAATCGGCGGAAGCTCACTCATAGAAAGACTCATTGTCAACACAGAAAACAATTTCCTCTCCTTCGCCAAATATTATGTAGAAAATATCCTGCTGTGATCATAAAACCGCAAAAAAGCAATAGATATTTATGCAGTTGTTAATAAATAAAAAAGATAGAGAAAGCAAAAGGAAAAAGATAGAAATATAGAAAAATTGTGATCTTCAGCACGCCTAGAAAAAGCACTAAATCTCTTGCCTTACGGAAAGTCAGGCAAATTTGCAAAATCCCTGTGTAACAAGCAACAAAAGAAGGCCAGAGACAATACGTGAAGAAGCAAGAAAAAAAGAAGGAAGCCTCACTCGGGGTGTACATGTTTAGATTCCTTCTGCTGCTTGTACTCCAGCATCTCCTCCCGCACAACCTGGATGTGATCTTCACTTCGTGGTAAAAGAATACGGCGTATCGCGCGCAGTGTCTCGATACTCGTGGGGCTTGCAGCGTAAGAAAGACGAGCAAAGTCCTCTTGCTGTAGAGGCGTCACGAGAACACTGTCAACCCCAGTCCCGCCCAACTTCCTCCAAAGAGTGCCAAAGACGCTGTACGATGCTCTGCTGCTCGCTGCAGCCTCCTGCAGGCGCCGCATCTCGTGTTGTGCCTCCTGTTCCCGCAGTGTCGTCAAATACAGCTCTTCGTGCGTGGTGTCCATCGGGTGTTGGTCCTTCACTCCGCTGTTTGCTGTCAGGGGCACCACTGCCGGGCGCTGCTGCGTCTGCAGCTGCTCTTGTGCCAGTAGGGGTGGCTGCCGTCCCTGTTTTCCCTCTGCGTCGTGCGCTCCTAGGGCCTCCTCAATCCCAACGGCAGGAACATCTTCGCCGGGCAAATGGCTCTTGCCATTGCAGTTCCTGTTGCTCACAGTAGACACATCTGGCCCAGCCATCCGCGTTGCCTTGGCATCAAGCAGCCGACGCTTCTCACGTCGAACGGCCTCCACGACCGGTCGAAAATCGGGCCGGTGGGACTGCAGCTCCTCCCGCGCCCTCCGCATGTCGCGCTGGAGGTTCTCCTCAAGTCCGCTCACTGTCTCCTCCATTGCCTCCACAAAGTCTTCGTAGTGCCCTGCAAGCAGTTTCAGTTCGTAGTGCTGCTGCACGCACTCCATCAGCACCCATGCCGTGAGAGCCTTCAGCGCAATAATGCCGTAGTAGTAGAAATCGTCGGTGCGCTCCCACCTGGTGTATTTGCTAATGACTTCCTTCAGTTTCGTAACATTCTTCTCAAACTCTTCGCGTGTGTTGCCAAAGATCATGGCGTCCCTCTCAAAATCCAGGTCAACCAGAAGAAAATGCTCCCGGTGACTCATCGTGGTCCCCTCGAAGCTCTTCATGTACGCCAGGCGCTTCTTCAGCAGCTGCTCTTTCGTAAGTCCCGCCTCAATTGGCATGCCATTCTCGTCGTACTTCGGCACAATGCTGCTCTCACCGCCAAAGGGCTGCAGCTTGCGCGGTCGCAGAAACCCAAGGCGTTTGTCCTCCCGTGCACCGAATCCGGCCCCAAGCCCTACGCCGGTGGTGCCGTAGGGCGTCACTTGTGACGTGAAGTCGCGTGTGGAGCGCTGGTACGCGTCAAACTCCGTCTTCTCGCGCTTCACTGGCGGGAGGTTCGCCACCGGCACGCCGCCGCCAATGCGCTCCGGCTGACGGAAGCTCATCTCCATGTACACCTTTGCATCGGGGCTGTCGCGACGCATGAAACCACGCTGCTGCGCCTCCGCCTCAAGGCCTTGCAACTGATCCCTGTCCAGCGGTGCGCCAGGCGACGGCTGCTGCCGTTCGTCAAGCCGCCCGTCGCGGAGAATAACGCAGGAAGCAAAAATGCCGACTCGTCGCATAATAATTAATTTTATTTTATTTTACCCCGCCCGCACACAACAGGAAGAAAGAAAACAACAGAACAACAACTACGCCAAAAGTACTAAAAAGAAGAGTCGTTCGTTTGCTGCTTTCGCAGTCCTCTCCTTCTCCCCGGGGCGGCCAACGGTAATCCCCGTCCTCGCAATCCAACGCGGGCAAAAACCACACAGAAAAACTAAAAAAAGGAAAAAAAGAAACGCAGAAGAGCGCAGCAAACAGATATTGTGGCAACACTACTGGTGTGAAAGCAAAGCGAAAAGCAGAAGCGCCCGACACAAAAGCCTCCAACGCACACACAAAAAGTGTGAGCGGTGGTGGAAAGAAGTCAAAATAAATAAGAAGATAAAAATAAATAAATATTGCACTGTTCATTACGCCACCATTGCAGACGCCGTGCTGGACTCATACTTCCACGTGGGCGGCAACTGCTTCACGCGCTTGTAGTAACGGGCAAGGCGGTGAATACGGGACTCCACCAAAATCAAACGGAACTTCGTGTCCCTATCCTTGGTATTGCGCTCCAAGTGCTTCCGCATCTCCGTGGCACGCTTGATGAGGCAGTAGAGATCCTCTGGGATCTCCGGCGCCATGCCCTTGTGCTTGAGAATGCGCAGGATCTTTCGGCCTGTGACGTTCTTCACCTGAGCAATACCCATGGAGTCACGCAGCTGCATGCCAATGCGACTGGGAGCGAGACCCTTTTTCGCCAGCTTGCAAACGGCGTCAATAACATCGCGGCTGGCAATCTTCAGCCACGAAGGAGGCGTGCGGCAGAACGGCAAAGACGAGGCGGACTTGCCGTGACCAACACCTTGCATGCGGACCATCTTTTCTTCTTTCTGTGGTGGCGCTACGAAGCACACTTCCCAAATTGTTGCAGGATCATGCCAATTATTATGAGAGATTATTTTTAAAAAGAAAGAAAAAGGGGCGGGGTGGTCGACAAAGGCAAAAAAAGAAAAAAGAAAAAAGAAACACGTCGGAGTCAACAGCCTCAATGCCCCCGGCAATATGAAATTAAGGTGAGACGTTTCAATTACGATTCACCTGCAAAGCGTACGGCGGCGTCAACCTGCAGCCCGTAACCGCCAGCTGACATCGCTCCCAGGAGCCACTGCGCGGCCTTTGCGGGGCTCATCAAAAATAACGCGTCAATCCCCACTTCGGCGGCGCTTCGGCACGCAAGCGACTCAAATCGTCGGTTTAATGAGAGCGACTGAAGCACCTCCTCGTCCAGCAGTTTCACCTTCGCGGACTTTTGCCATCGCTGAGCCACTAACGCAAGACCCGTGGCAATACACTGCGCCATGCTACAACCCTCCACCCGACGTTTTGGTAGTGACTTCACGTGCATACTTGGCAGATCGTAGACCGTGCAGCAGGGTGCAACCACAGCCAGTACTTCTCGTCCCGCAAGACGGCTGGCGATGGCGTGGCGCAACAAGCTAAACCACGCCGCCAGGAAGTACATCGTCGTGAAATGATCGGCAAAGGAAGCGACGGAGCTCAAAAAACCAAACATCGTCCCCCATGCCAAATGCGTATGCAGGGGTGCTCCAGCAAAGGCAGCCACAATGCCCTCAAGATACTCTGGGGTGCGAACACAAAAAAGCGCCGGCAGGAGACAACATCCCACATAGTTCAAACCTTTTCCCACCGTTGCATCGATGTTGCTAAAAGAAGCGACACCGTTGCCGTCATATCCCCGTCCAAAAGCGTCGGGGAAACAATTGCCGTGGCACTCATTGCTGCAACAACCTTTGAGAGCGTTGTGGAGCAGTGGCGTTCCTGCACGGAAGAGCAAAGAACCTCAAAAAGCACAAGGCTGATATCCTCACGTATGACTCCCGCGTGCCCACCCGATGCCGCTGCTGCCAAACAACTTGACAAAAGACGTGTCGTCGCATCGTCATGTGGCGCATCCTCCGCAGCAAACTGCAGCACGACAGGAAGGCACTTATTTA